GTGATACCAAACTTGTTAATAGTGTTAAAAATATTTTTAACACGTGCCTCTTTCTCTTTCTTTCTTTAAAAAATTATGCATGGTAATATGCTCAGTTCAACAAAACTTGAAAATCCCTATTTAGTCCTATCTGATTAAAAAGGAATTACTCTTATTGAATTGACTATTTTGGGATTTCCAAATTTATTAATCATTTTTCTATCATTTTCCCATTTAATTTTTGTAAATAGTTATTTGTTTAATATTTTTCGGATAAGTTTAAGTAATTCAGTTAATACAAATATAAAAGACTTGATTAAAAATTTAAATATTTTTTTTAACAAACACATATACTTCACTATCTATAGGGTTCTTCAGTCCTAAAAATTCTACAAATAGCTATGTGAGAATTTGGTACATATCCAAATTCCATTATTATTATATGGGTAGCTAACAAAAATTGATCATTAACCCTATGTTTGGTATGAGGGAATTGGATGGGAAGGAAAATTTTAATAAGTTTATTTAAAAAATTAAAAAAGTGGGGTTATAAAATTTTGATAAAAAATATGAGATAAAAGAGTAAGCAAAATTAGTTTAAATTTTTTAACCCTCATTTTTTTAATTTTTTAAATCGAGCTCATTAAAATTTTTATTAGAATTGGAGGGCAAAACCAAACCATTTGGTCATCATATGTGTCAAATGTTTCATCCACTACTAGTTTTTTGATTTTAGATTCTGCAAACATTGTCCTAATTGACAACTTGACGATAACCATATGGTAAAGTTTTGAGCTATCCTTCAGATGCAGAGGTTTGTGAAGCAGTAGGAAAACCCTGCATTTCAGGTTTGGTTTTTTCAAATTTAGTTATTAATGAATTTATATTTTATTTAATTAAACTAACTTTGTTGAATTTGTTTCCTTGTCATAGGCACTGAGTAGGAAGAATAAGCAAATATCTGAGCTTAATGTGTACCTATATACCATGTCTTGTGGAGGATACAACAGCTTGGAAAGAAGTATGGTAGAGGAACAGTTGCAGGCTGCACAAATGGCTGCTACTTCAGACCCTATTGGAGTCATTCTACCCATCCAGCATCCTTCTCACCAAGAAAACTGGAAGGCAGCGAGGGTTAAAAATGGTCAATATATCACTCCAGAGACTGCTACTGTTGGTGAGAGGATTGTAAGTAATATCATTGCATTATGCGTTATTAACTGTTTTTTTCAATTATCTTAAATTGAATTTATTGCTTTAATGTTATAGAATACATTTGAGGAGCAATTATCCTAAGGTATATTCGTTCCTCATGGATGGATGTATATCTTAGCCACTGTGATTAAAAAGGCTGACTATCCTGCTAGAGTTAAAGCAGTCTCTAAAGGGATTGGCATTAAACAGTTCTTTGGCCCTGATTTACGAAGAAGTACTGGATCATTCTCTGCTAATATGGTACCTAAAAAAGAGCTTGACTAGTGATTAAAAGAAGAAATAGAGAGAGTTTGATCTCACTTCAGTCAATAACACAAGGCGGAAATGCAAAAGATGCGTGAGGAGTTCGATGCCAAATTTCAACAAGCTATGATGATGATGGGCACGATCGGATTCCAGATACCTCGAGTGTCTGAACCGTCACAAGTAATAATCATACATCTTCTCAAGGTTTATTTCATCCATTTAAACTTATTTAATTTGCCTTAAGTAATTTCTTTCTATATTTTGAGATTCACCTATGATTAAAAGTAGGAAGGAAAGTAATAATCAGACGCAACATGTCACACCTTACTTTTAGACCTCATTTTATCTCAATTGAAACCATTTGGAATTATTTCTTATGGCCTTAGATTGGAGAAATTTGAACTTTTAGATTTCTTAAATTCGAATTACTGTTCATTTTAACCCTTATAAAAGCTAAATTTCGAAAATTCATAACTAATTCCAAAAAAATCAAAATAAGATGGTTCCAAGTTTTATTTGATGCTCATAATGTCATCTTTAAGGAAAAAAAAATACTCATTGGTATCCAGAATTCATCCATCAAGCTCAGATTTTGTGCAAAATGGTACTGTTTATTTGGTTATTTTTTAATTTTTCAGGATTTATACCCAACTTTGGAAGGGCATAACTTTTTGTACAAAACTCCAAATTTAATGAACTATTACTTGTTTTAAAGCTAAAAATATGATCTACGGGTCTGACAAATTTCAGCTCAAGAACCATCCAATTAAACAAAATTTTGTTAGCCCTTAAAAAGTCAACTTTTATCCCTTTTCATTCAATTCTTGGTCTTTTTCTCCTCTATCCAATCCATATAATCCTTCCAATCATACATCACATACTTAAACATGATTCTTAAATTAATTGCTCACATATAAAGCATTCTTGATCGTTAACACAATATTCCAACATAATTCATAATACACATAACAATACATAGTAATTACAAAACATAACTTCAATGGCATTAAGCTTAATTATCTTCCAAGGTGAATCCCTTTTCTTTCTTCATACTTGATCCAGCTCCTAGCTGGTAAATATTTGGATATAAAAGAATGAGATTTCATGAAAATCTCAGTAGTAATGAACCATAATTATCATGTTAATCATGCTTTACATAATGTGACATGCCACAATGCATAATAACCATTCTCAATTTCATGAACAACACATTATTCCATCAAGGAAATTAGCACATATTCATAACTCATATCAATATACATTTGGCCAAAGCATGTCATGCATTGAAGAACATTCCGTGCCATAGTATAAATCAATCATTTCATAGCAAAACAAAGCAATCAACGCGTACACATTGAGTAAGCAAGAAAAACAATCAAATTAGATTCAATGCTACCTTTTGTACTTGGTTCAATTCAGCCTCCTTAAGGATTTGGTATTTTCCTTGGTTCTTCTCCACAAAACTCATCAATCCAAGTATAATTACAAGCCATATTATCAACCGCTCAATTTGATGACAAGTACTTAACCTTAAACCTAATTAAATCCTCTTTTTCTTTATTTTTGTCATAATTATTCCTCCTTTAATTCTATCAATCTCTTAGCTCATTTCTATACAATTTTTTTTATGTAGAATTCAAATATCAATTCAGATTTAACAAAATCACACTCTTTCCCCTTCAATTCACTTTGGCTGAATAGGTAGGATTTATGTTCCAAAATTTTTATTTTTAATTCCAATGATTTTAAATACTTTTTTTGGTGTTTCCCTACACAAAAACACCTTTTAAACTTATTGGAATCATCAAATCACCTTGAAACAAACTCCTACCCTAGGAAACCTTAGTGGCCAAATAGGGGCTATATAAGTGCTAACTTTGATTTCTTTCAAAATTCAATCTAAATATCAAATAAATATAAAATTTCAAGCTCATATTTATAATTTCTATCCTTCCCTAATCCATCCTTAAACTGAAGGAAAATCACAGCATAGAACCTTGGGATTTCGTTATGAAATTTCAACTAAAACAACTTTTAAATCCAACCAAAATCAAGTTTAAACATACCTTAATAGATCCTAACTTCAAGCTTGATAATTTTTCTTGGATTTAAAGGGTATTAGGAGCTATTTGGAGTTGAGTTTTTATTTTGGCGTAATTTTCCCCTATTTTTCTCTATTTGGCCAAATTATGCATGAAGTGAGCGAGTATTTATGGGCCAAAAAACTAACCTCTCTCTCCTCACTTGTAGAAAAAAATTGGCCATCAAAAATAGCCTTATGACTGCCATCAAATTTTTCAATTTTTCTTATTTGTCCAAGTGTCCCTTTGCTTGAGTTTTTCCATTGATATTTTGACTTAATTTGGGTTTAAGACTCCTTAATTGTTGGGCCATTATTTGAAAAAAAATTTTGGACCCTCTTGACCCAATATGAACCTCAAATCTGATTTAAAAAGGAAAAAAATGTGAGGCCCACCCATAAATATCAATTTTTGACTAAAACTCACTATTTTGGTTACTATTTTCAAAAATAGTTCTAGGCCTCTAAAAATTCATTTTTCCCCCATCAAAAAATCCTTTATAATATAGGAAAGCCCCCTGAAAAACTTTGAAATTTATTTCAAATCCTAGGTATTTATTTTGAACTTTTTCTAAAACAGAGCTTTACCGATAATATTTCTGTAACTAAATGTTCTAAAATTAATCCTCTCACCTCCGAGGCCTAGAAAAAAATGTATAAACTCCAATAAATATTTAAATAATTTTTTCATATTTTTTCCTGAATTATTGAAACCTCTACATATTTAAAATAATTATTTCGGACTAATTTTTCACTGTTTTTTTTCAAAAAACCTCTATTTACAGAAAATTCTGTAATAATTTATTTTCATGCCATTTCCATCTTTAGGGCCTTAAATAGGGTTCTAAAACCTCTAATTCACCTTTTTACTATTTTTTGAGAATTTTCTAGATTTTTCTCTAATTTTTTTATTTTACCCTTCATAGACCAATAATTTCAAAAATATTAGTTCAAGCAAGGGTTAGAGCTTAACTCAAAAGTTGTCTCACCTCTAAGTCTACTTTGCTATTTAAACCTCTCTCTAATTTATTATTCATATTCTCAGGGTTAAATTTGGTGGGATGTGATAGAACAGCTGACAGTGTTTGACACTGACTCTAGCCCTGACCCTGCCTAAGACAATGGACTGCCGTGTGCTCTCTATGTGGACTTTGAAGATTCATCTCTTCATATTACTAATAGTTGAGCATTCTTGGACACAAAGATCCATGATAAGAAAGTTCCGAAGGATCAAGTAAGGGTAAAAGTGGATAAGATCTGTAGTGGTCATGGTGGTACACCAGTGCCCAACATTGCTGATGAGGTTCGACTACTGGTTCAGGCTAAAGGAAATTTCATTTTGTGGCCAAAAAGATTTGTGGGAAAGCTAGTGGCTGTGAAGAAGGCGACAAAGAGTGCATATCCTGTCCTCTAGTCTCTTCTTAATCACATTGGGGTTATATATAGAAGTTTGGCGCTTCTTCATTCCATGGTGGGAAATATGGAGAACCCCTTTACTTTCAACATACCACTGGGAATTGTGGGTTTAGATGTAATATACGACTTCACTATTGATAAGAAGGACCTCATTCAATTCCTCAACTTTGAGGAGCTGGATATATTTTTCATGCAGCTGGCTATCTTGTAAGTTACAATATCATTTTTTTTTATTTCATGTTATGCTTATATATGTCCTAATGTGTATTATTTGAACAACAGGCACTTCACTCACATCTATTGGCATAGAGGACTTGAGGGCACATATGGCTTTTTGTGTCCTCAAAAAGTGTAGAAAATAGTAAATATTGTGGAAGCGAGGTTGATCTACATGATGACCATAATGACCCGGACAAAAAAAAGTTATATTTTGCACCTTACGTGGAAGGGTAAGTATATTATTGTATTTGAGATATACAAGTTATATATACAAGATTATAATTAACATGGTTCGTATTTTGCAGTTATTATTAGACCCTAACATGGTTTGATTCCCTGCATGGAGGTCCACAAGAAGAAACCGGAGATGTTACTGACACATGAATTTATGTTTATATATTTAGTACATGTAAAGTTTATAAAAACGTGCTCTAATATCATTTTCTTTTGATTATTGATAGGACTTTTCATAGTTTCAATGTTGTGGCCAAAGGGAAACATAAGCCACTACTAAGATGGATTCTCCCACAAGTATGTTATTTTGAGCTAAGTATACGCTTATAAGTTTTTTCAATAGCCAAAGTTAATGTTTATAAATTTTTCTTAGATAATCAAAGTCAGATATTCAATTTTTTATTTCATTTTGTTAGTATCGTTGTCAATCCAAGAGTGTTGAATGCAGAAATTATGTCATCTACTATATAAATGACATCATTGAGACAGGGGTTATTGAGAAGTTAAACGAGATAAATATAGGTTAATTACATTGTATGTAATTTTTCAATTCTTTTCACGTTTTTGATCAAGTTGACTATGTTACTTTTAAGTTACAGACATTCCAAGATAGTGTGCCATATGACATCGAGGAAATTAACTTGATGAGGGATACTCTGTCAACAGCATTACTTGAGAAGTTTTAAAGTGTGAAATAGTTAAGTCATTCATCTCATTTTAGTTCATTTTTTATTATTAACTAGTTAAGTAGCTGTTGATTATAATGTGTAGGTGATTGAATAAGGATTAGATATTAGTGTTAGGATAAACATCTTAAAATGGCTTTACATATTCTTCTACTTTGCTGGTTGTATTTGACTCTATAAATTGCAGGAAGGTTGTATAGCAAGTTCACGTAGAATGTTAAAAAAAAAAAAAAGATGCAGTTTTTAATGGTGGTTATTTGTTTAACCACCATTAAAAACATTTTTTTTATAAACCGCCATGTAATATTCTCCTTACAACATTAACGGAATTCACTGCACTTTCAAAACCATTATGAAAAGCTCATTTTAACCGCCGTTAAAGATCTTTTTTTTTGGTAGTGTTGGTAGAGTTATATAAGGTACAAATTTGTTCCGTGAGTTTTCACTTATAAGTGCTAAGCACTGGGAAGTCTTTTTTTTTTTTTTGTATAAATTTGCCTCAAAAGTATAAAATCATAGCAGCTTTTCCTTTTACTATTAAAAAACTAACGTTGATTGGTTAAATAGTAATATTGACTGTTAATATTTTTAATAGTAGGGGACAAATTTGCTATGATTTTAAACTTTCACGATAAATTTGCAATTAAAAAAAGCTTTCCGATGCTTAGCACTCTTGAGTTAAAACTTTTGAGACAAATTTGCACATTAACTCTTTAAAAATTTATATTTCTTCTGAACATAGAGATTAAATAATTAATTTGTAAAATAACTGAAATAGAAATTAAATAATTAATTTGTAAAATAACAAACTTTTTTTTATTAGGTCTTATATTTAAAATTAGATGAGTATTTTTAATAAAAATTAAATTATCTTCCTATATAAAGACTAAACCTCCCCAATATCATGTGCGCTGCTCAAACATCAAGCACTGTGATATTACTATTACATCATGCCACCCCTTTCTTCCCATTATTACTACCCCGTGCCCATGATGGCTGAGGAGAAACAGAAACATGCTCTGCTTTAGGGTGACTGGTGGAATATCTCCAACCTTTCAGGCATTATATGGAATCTGTACGTAGAAGCATCAAATAAAAACTTAATAATAATTCAATAAACCTACATTGCACATAACTGATTAAGAAAAATATAATACTCAAATGGCATGGAAATTGCCAAATTGTGACAGATTTGACACTGTAGGCACGCAAATATATATATGTGCGCGCGCGCATGCACATGTGTGTAATATGATTATGAAGGATTTAGGAAGAGGAGCCACCAACAGTAACAACAAAAACAATCTTTAACTTTGTCTAGCATCTGGGGAGGTTTTTGGTGAAAACCAAAACTGTGTTAAGAATAAGAAAATACAGGAAATTAAAAAAATGCAAAATAGCAGGATGCGAAAAGATCAGAAGAGCAGATTAATGTCTTGTTTGGAGCTATTTATATTAAGTACTTATAAATACATTTATATAAATTGAAACGAAACTCTCTTCGTATACTTATTTTATATTCCGTAAATTATAACAAAAAAATTATTGTTGACATCACCGTTACCAAACAAACAGTAAAATATTAAGCTAATTTGGTGGCTGAGTTATTGTGCTTTTGACAGCCCATTCTTTTTATAAGAATTTATTAACATGGTATGAAAGAGGAAAAAAAAGAAAGAAGGGAAGTATTCCTTGTAGTTTTCAATTAAACTTAGTAATAGGAATTGGGTCAAGTGAAAGGGGTTAGTCCCTCATAATGTGACGAACCAATGTTCGAATCTCTGATGCCATAAGTGCCCACATTTAATGCTTAATAGTGCTTCGAATAGGATTACCTCTAAGAAGAGAATACTTAAGCTTTAGGGAAAAATATAAACTCAGTAAACTTAACTGAGGTCGTTAGAGTTTATCTATTAGAATTTGGATGCTTGTAGTTTAAACTCCCTCTGCTAATAATTAACTATGTTGATATGGCTTAATGGAGTTAAAAATAAGTATGTGCCAAATGATTTCAGTTAAAAAAATTGCCCAAAACTACTTGAAGATTTTAAAATTTTAAAATTAACTAAAATAATTTTAGTCAATAAATAAATAAATAAAAATATCAATGAAATCAAGTCTTCTCATCACACACGTTATATTTATGTCCATTTGTTTTGAGGAGGCGGCCGCATACTCCAGCGGCCTTGATGTCGACGGCGCCTTATATAAAAGAGGGGGGCTTTAAAATCTGGAAAAAAAAAGAGAGTATAAAATTGTGTAATTGTGCTATCAAAATAAAAAGCAGCAAAATAGATAATATATTGAAACGTCGTGTGAATAAGCCCACCACATTGATTAATAAAGTGTTTCGGTAAAAACTTATACAGTATATGGCATAAATATGTGAGAAGAATTTCATATTGACTTACATAAAAATACTTTTATGAAAAAGTGCAACGCTGGCAAAAAAATAAAAAAAGGCAAACATGTTTATTTCTTTCTTCTGCTATTTTTTATAATGGGAAATAAACTTGCTCAGCCTTCCTCATTAGAATAACAACTTTCCTAAATTGGCTTTCATGCTACTTTTGGTGATCAATTTTTCATTAAATAATGATGAAGAGCTGTCTTAATTGTCATCCTATAACTTTGAATAGCAGTAATTACAATTCAAATTATTTCAAATACTGTTTTTTATTAGGCCAACTTGCATCTCTGATCCTTTAAATCTATTGAAAATTTTATTTTGAAGAAAAATTATCACGTGTTCGCGTATTACGTAAATTTTGAAGAACAACAATGGTTGCCACAAAAAATCATTCAAAGTTGATTGTGTTAGGGTTATGAGACTAAAAGAATACTTTACAAAATTAAGAAACCAATCAGAGTACGAAGAAAGAGCCACTGATGATGATGAAGAAAGAGCCATCAATTTAGAGTGAAGAGGCCAACGAGTGACAACGACAATAAAGAACCAAATCTAGGTTAAAGATGACAATAGAGAGTGAAGATGAGCAAGAATGGTCCATCGATTAGCGGGCCACAACTTTCGAAGTGAAGACCCAAGTCCCAAAGGAGTGAACGGGAAAAGATGAACATGAGGCTGTTGATAATGAAGAAGATGAAAGGGCTATTTGGGAATTTAACACACAAGAAAATTGGATCCCACCTCTGATCGAAGGAAATTGAGTAATAAGTTAATATAAACATAAAAAATTGAAAGGAAATTTCATGAATTCTTTAAATAAATATATGATCGATCAAATAAGTTGTAAATGTTTGCAACAAGATTTTTGTTTAAAAATTTTAAAATTTAAATTTAAATGATTTATATAATGTCCGAAACTATTATATGATAAAAAAATATGCATTTAAAATAACTTTTTAGCCTTTTAAAAGAAACCTAAATAAATAAGTTTCAATATGTTATGAAGAATTAAAATTAAAAATTTTGAAAATATATCTGTTATAATTATTTGGATCAAAAAGTATTTTTTATGGATATAAATGTTCAAAAAATATTTATGTTAAGAGGGGATATTTTGATCAAAATAAAACTTTAAAAATCAATCTTAATGGTCAACTATTAGTTGGATAGATAGAAATGAAATCTCAAATATATAAAGACAGTTTGTGTGATATACATTTTAATTTCAAGAAAAATTTATATACATTTTTTTTTGAATACTGTATTCCACCAAAATCAGTACCAAACAGCAAAGGGAGACAATTTATATACATTTTTAAAATAAAGGAGATATTTCTATAATTCGGGTAAAACAAAAAGATAGGTAATATATTTTACTCTTAAATTTAATAAGGAAAATTCCAAACAGTATTATTATTTTCTTTTAGTAAACTTATTATGAGTTAACTTTCATTTTGCTTCTTTCTCTTTCCCTATATGCGAGTAATAAGTAAACTGACAGAGGAGTACAAGCAAGGAATAAAAAACCGGATCGGACATTAAACCGGTTAAGGTAGTGGTTTAAGGATTAGTTGCTCGGATCGGGGTCAACTCGAGGTCCAACCGGTCATATTAAAATAATATAATTTAATTAAAAATAACAAAATATAACAACATTA